TAAAATCGGCAAGTAGCCGTTTTCTTAATAATCCACAATTCCTTTGGACTTAAATCCTAAAACAGTCCGACCAGAAAGAAGACTTTGAAGCCACTTCATATCGACTCGTTCACATGGATGAGCTTCCGACAGAAAAAATTGAGTAGCGTGAATTTAATTAGATTTTCAGACGAGTTGGTGCCGAACTTGCGGCGAAGACGTGTCTGTATCCAGGCTACTGAAGGTGGCGTTGGATGTGACAGGCGCAGGCGACGCGGAAGTCGGAGACGTCGTCTGCGGACTGAAAGAGTCTGAGGGACCTCCGCGCTCTAAGAAATGAGCATCGTTGGTGAAAGATCTTTTGCTTGCACCATCGACGGTATAGACGCAACTTCCTTCGCTGCTGCTGTACGAGACTTGATGTCCATCACCGCTTTGGAAACTCTGGTGGTTTCCAATTGAATTATTCAAATTACGTCCGTCATCATCGTATACGAAACGTGAGGCGTTGGTATCATGAGCCGAGGAGCATCGCTGTGAATCATCAGCGTAACGACGTTTTTCTTTGGCAGAACATCCGCCGCTGTTGCCGGGATCATACGAGTCGCAGGCAGCAGGCTGGCATCGTTGTTGGTCGTCTCCGCAATATTCGGCTGCGAAATCATCGTTATAATCGGATGAGTTCGACACGGGACGGTCGCTGTAGTCCATTGAGTCCTCCATGTGAGATATTCTCTCTCCGGCCTCCAGCACCTGACGCTCTGAGTCGTGCGGTGGATAACTGTCCTGACGATGGAGCCTTTCGTAATCTTCGTGCCGGTGACGCTGGCCATCAGGAGCTCCGTGGGGCAGATGCCCTTCAAAGGAAGAACATCCCGAGACGTGCTTGCCGCGCTTGAGAGGAGCTCCATGCGCAGTCACGTGGTGCTTCCTCAAGTACCATTTGTTCTTGACGGTTTTGTGGCAAAGGTGGCACTGTAGCCCCTGACCAACAGTGTGCACGTTTACCACATGTTGCTTGAGATTGAAGGAGTTGCTGAAGGTTTTCCAGCAAAATGGACAAAGTCTAGGCTGCATACAGCGCCATCTGTGTCGACCTGCGGTCGCGCCCCCAGGACTGAGAGGGCCAGAGGCATCTGGAAGAACAGAGCAAAACATGGCATTAGCAAAGAGTTGCTGCAGCCAGTGTAAATACAGCGAAGGAGTGAAGCGGGCCATCGAAACCATCGCAACAAGCACCGAGATACGCAACACTCGGGCAAAACAAACGTCGCTAGCAGGCGAGCGAGGTTTGTTTTACCGCGAGAATTGATATCGTGGGTTGTTAACGCAAAGGCCATGTCCACCTCACACCTCCGATGTCGCTGCTCGCACCAGATACCCCTGCCCTTCAATACGAGCTTCCTGGGCGTATTTTAGTTTAATGCTCCACGGTACCTGCCTGCCGGTGAAACGCTGTATACTCCTCCACGCAAAGCGTTTTAAGGGAGTGATCAGCTCTTCATCAGAGGGTGGGGTAAATTTGAATGCGTATTCTGAAATTATTCAACTCGTACTTTAGATTTTGTTAACGAAGTTGTAGTCCTTATTTCTTGAAAGAATCGCTTCGTTGAATTCGCGCAAATTTCAAGACTTTTGCCGGTATAGCTTCCATTCAAGTTCTCTTACGTTCGGAAACCTCAACTAATATCACAAGGGCAATAAAAAAATGCGGAAAAACAATAGGAATAATGGCACCATTTCACCTGGCAATTTGTTCAAGACGATGATACACATACTTATATTACAAAAGTACCGGTTTTGCTTATGAACATTCAGAGCAGAGCTAGCGTGGATGGTAGGCTTCTTTTCAAACCGTGTTAGAATATTTAACTCTAATTCGTAGCAAAATGATGGCTAAATCAATACTCAATAATTATTAAACATCATCACTTCACGTAAAATTAAATTCAACTTACTAGACTCAGAATTTGTATAATATTCACGCAAGCAATAAATTTTAATTGGTGGAACAAAACACGCATTGCTGGCAACCGATAAGAGATAGGCACCAGTGCCTTATAAAATACACTGGGAGTAGAAAGCTCTAGAAAATAACAATGTAGTGGGTGATGCTGAAATAATGAAATGGCCTACTAAATGATGAATGAATCTTTAGGTAGCTTCCACATGAAGACGCTCAAAGGATTTATCAATAACAAACTCTAGATAATAAACGAGTCTTCTAACGCTAGAATCGAACTAAAAAAATTTGCTTATGAAATGGAAAATTTCATCTACAGAATCTGAAATTGGTTCTCATTCATTGACTAGTGGGTAGGTGAGACTAAAAAAGGCTAGCCCCAAGTATTATGTAATTATTTTTAATAGGCTAAGAAATATCAATTATATTAGATCGTCAATACTAAAGGAACGAAGATACGAACGCGCTAAATTCATGGACTAAATAACGCAAAGAAAGCGCGATAGGGAGAAGTGTGTGAAGAAATAATTAACACAAGCAACGCTCGGCTAAAATATCTATATCTTTTGCTTCGTTCGGAGAATGTGCAGAGCAAGGGGAATATTTTACTGTCGCTTGTCTTGATTCTAGTTCTTACCAGCATCAAGACAGCTGAAATCAAAGACCAAACGCTGGCTCACACTACACTCCAAGGACCGAAAATGGTGGTCTGGGCCTATACTTTCAAAGAAAGTTAAGAGATCGTAAGTTCATCAGCCAATCATTGACGGCCTTTCAAGCCAAATCCACCAATCATATTAAAAGAAAATAGAGCGTAAGGACTTGCGTTCACTTAGCGAATTTTGAAAGTATGGCCCCTGATTTAACAGGACATGACTTCGTATCTTTACGAGAGCCGACATCAGGAAGAAACATGCTCAGCAATACAGTCGGTGGATAGGTTATAAGTTCTGAGACGAATCAACAAGCGAGGCCAACGCGGAGCCCGGTAAATAAGGTTCAAGCTTGAATCAAAATAATTGCATAGGATGCAATATTTCTACTGGTCACAAGCCTCGAACAGTCATGCCGAACCATATTGAAGAAGTTATTATAATAATTTCCCTAGCATAAATGGTATTACTTTCATCCATGTAGATCAAACGCGCTGCAATTCATATCTACGTACACGGCATGCACCTCTCGAGGCACGGTAGAGTGGAGATGCACAACTACAGGGACGATCAACGGTAAACTCAAGATACTCGCATGCACAGTAAATCATAATTATTGGTCTAAAGATATGAGAATGATACATGAGCTTAATGAATGATGAATGAAAATCTTGAAAGAAAAAACAAATGTGGAGACATTTTCGCCCACGTCAAAGATCTCATATTGACAAAGATTTCGAATAATGAAGGATCGTAATTAACTTGATAATTAATCATAGAAAAAGGAATTGATTTGAATAAATCGGGTCAGTCAAGATCTTTAAAAAACCATACAAGTCTCAACGATTTCAAATCGTTGTCGGCATTAGATTGGCACGGAAGAACTACTATATTACCCAGACAGCCACTATAGATTTCAATGCCACAACTTGATGAGATACGGGACTACTCACTGTAGTATGGAAAGTTTTGTTAGACATGGCAGGTTTTGATGACGGAATTCATGTAAGAATTGAGAAAGCTATAATTAATAATGCACCTAGTGAATGTGCAAGTAGCCCGCGAAATGCTCAAAATGTTGACATAGTAACTTCTATATTCCGGGATCTTGAGACTAAGATGTCTTTGCTGGACAAAAGCCGACATACGGACCGCAAAAACAGACAGTGAACCTATGGGGAAAGTCAATGAGATAAGTTTCGTTTTCATGGTTGTAGGGGCAGTTGCTTCAGACACAGTTCAGGTCGCAGCAAAGCGATATATCAACTAAAAACCGACATTGCCTTAAAAAACCGGAACTTTTTTAATTATACCAGGCAGTTTACAAAAGGTTTAAGCGGTTTCAAGTTACAGAATATTGTTAGTGGGCAGTTCGCTTAAGCTAGCGTGTTGAAGCTGCGAGCTCAAATGCAGTGTTAACCAGTCTATGTCGCGATCTGAATCTTCGACGAAACGAGCTTTGCCGTGCGGTTTCAAGATAGTTACGCAGACGAGGCCACTTTCAGACAGCAATAACTAAACATCCCTTTGCCCTTTGGCGGAAAGCAATAATATTTAGAGCTTAATAGCGTTGTGTGGCCAGAAACGTTCAAGCGCTGAAAAAACAAGACGGTTGTACAGGAGTTCATGGACAAATTTACTGAAATTAACGTTTGTTTTCAGTACATAAGGTACAAAATTAAGCCCAATTTACAGCAACGTCAAAATAAATGCGAAATCGGAGAGATAAAGTTGAAAGTTCTATGCTCGATTCATTGTTCATCAAAATTCGGTTTAACTCAGAAGATAGCAATGCTGCCACGTTTAAAATAATTTAGGCAGAGCCAAACTTGAGAACTTTCATCGTACGACACTGGGCAGACGTTAACATATATACTTTACGTGATCGCATCCAATACAAAGTAGACGGTCAGACACAAGGGCTTACCTGGCGGAGCACGAGAACTGGGATCCGAGGAGCTACCAGAGCTGGTGGTCGTGGTGGTGCCTCCAGACCTCGTGTACGCGCCTGCACACGCCAGGACAACTATCAAACTCGTGACCAGACATCGTAAACATAAAAGTTATTGGTGAATTTCTAATAGTATTTGAGAATCTAGTCTAAATGCAAGCAGGTATGAAAGTACGTGTTATTCAAAGACACGATTACGAAACTACCGGTATAATCTGAGTCTAGTTAAGTACAGCAAGAGAGGAATTATTGTAGGACCTGCAGCAGCAGCGGCAGCAGCCAGACCCAGCATGTGCTGCCGTCTCATGATGGCGACAGCTGATGGCGATGTGAGATCCTTTTTATCCACCATGTCAGCACTGCCGCCGTCATCGTCGCACCGATGCGAGAAAGAAGGTGGCGGGGGAGCGTCGGGAGACCCTTGGTAGCCCTGGATGCGTTGCCGCAAAATAGACCCGCCGATAGACCCTGGCATGCCGCCCCCCGTAGACCCAGACATGGCACCCCCGGTGCACTCGACGGAGAGGTTTACGGCCTGTTGCTCGGACGCGGCGCTGCTGCTGTTGCTGTTTGTGTCTTCGAAAGGCGAGTCAACGATCTCCTGTTTGACTTCTATGAGCGGCGGCAACAGTAACGGGGACGCAGGTAACAGTAACGGGGAAGCCTGTAGCTGTTCCTTGACGCTTGGAGACTCGCGTGGAGCGGTCAGGGCCGCGGCCAGCGTTGACCCCGCCAGCAGAGATGACACGCCGGCGCCACATTCAAGTTTGGCGGTGCCAAGTGGCGGGCCGGAGTCCGGGGGCTGTGAGGAAGATGAGGAAGACAGAGACAAAGGAAGAGGCGGAGGCGGCGGCTCCACGGATGATGAAGAGCCTGGCGAGGCCGGCGGTACTAGAAGCTGTTGGTGGCGTCTCTTCTTGGGCGGCGGAGAGATGTGGTGGGAAGGTGGCGGGATGTACGGTAGTGGCGGTAAGGGTGAAGGAGATGAGAGAGGGCGGGTGGGTGAAGGTGAGCGTGGCACACCCCGAGCTGCTGGGTGTGATCCCTGCAAAGCAACGACACACATTTCGCTCGCTTTAATATAATTCGTTGTAAATTAATTTTTTTAAACTAATGATGAAAAAACCGCGCATAAAGAAAAAAAGCTAAACTGTAGCCGAAAAAATCTTCCATCTAAATTTATAATGGAAAAACTGAGAGATAAAAATTCCAAAATGCCTTATGCCTAGCAGACAAAATATCTCCGTACATCTTGTCATGGGCCACATGAACTAAATAATTTGAAACAGCTAACCTGTAAACCTTTTTGAAACTTGACGAAAAAATCTTCAATGCCTTTTTTTTGGAATCAATAATTTGCGTTTTTAATTTGCAATAAATTTAAACCTGACATGTTTGTAAGAAAATTTCCATTACTCAATTTCATAAGCATTTTGAGATGCCTCATCGTTTGTGCATTGAAAATAAAATTCAGGCTTCAGCGCCAGGCTTCAGACGAGCACTCCAACTTTCTAAAATAAACAACATTACGAGTTATCGACTCCCGAAGGTCGTATCTACGCTACGGACCTGGTCATGGGGCGAGTGTGGAGAGCTGCTGGGTGTGATCCCTGCAAAGCAACGACACACATTTCGCTCACTACAATCTAATTCGTTGCAAATTTATTCTTTAGATCTCACGATCAAAAAATCTGCGCATAAATAAATAAAAAACTGTAGCTGAACAAAATCTTCCTTCTAAATTTCTAAATTTATAATAGAAAAACAGAGATACAAATTCCAAAATGCCTTCTGCCTTGCAGACATACTAGGTATTGTCTCTGTATGTACATCTATTCCGGGGCACATGAACAGTCCTCTTAAAAATTTGAAACTGCCAACCTGTGGACTCAAAACACATTCGTTAAAACTCAACTCGCCGAAAAAAGTTCAACACCTTTTTTGGAATAGGATAAAAATTTGCCTTTTATATTTTTAATAAATTTGAACTTCACAAGTTTACAAGAACATTTCCATTACTCAATTTCATATGCATTTTGAAATTCATGGTTTGTGACTTGAACATAAAACTCGGGGCATCAGCGCCAGGCTTCAGACGAACAAACCAACTTTCTTAAATACACAACATTATGATTTATGGACAGAGTAGTAGTTGTCTTTTAAGCTATTTATTCACGGAAACTTTTTGAATTGAAAGCACTTAAGAGAATTAGTAATGATTAGTAGTAATAATTATTACTCTATAAATGTTATTAAAGAAGACATTCGAATTTTTGTATCCTGAAGGTCGTATCTACGCTACGGACCTGGTCATGGGGCGAGTGTGGTGGGTGAGGGGCGGTGGCGATGAGGTGAGTGAGGGGTGCACTCGCCCCCCCAGCACCCTGGGGGCCGAGCAGAGACACGGCGACGTTGGACCCGAAGCAGTTTGCGTTGTTCTCATTGCTTGTGCTGCTCGCAAGACCTGCGGACGATAAAAGCACATGCGAATACAGAGATGCTAGACCACTGCGTTACAATAACGACCACAATATTGGGGAGTGTACAAAAAGTTCGAATTATCACGAATGATATTATTTTTGCGGGAGAGTTCTTGAACGACCTATTCAAAAAAGTGATTACCTCTTGAACGAACTATTCAAAAAGGTGATGACCAGAAATGCGTTTATAATCGTCAGCATGGGAAGACTAATTACCAGTCATGTCCAGTTCATGCAACACACGCGCCAAATTACCAGTAATGTCCAGTTCATGCAACACACGCGCCAAATTACCAGTCATGTCCAGCTCATTTTTGTTGCTTTTATGCTACTTCTCAGTCATATTCAAATTACAATACAAGCTTGGCTCGAATGTATGATATTTCGTCAACAGTATTAGATGTAATAAAGGTTTTGCTGCAACACACGCGCCAAATTATGTGTCATGTCCAGCTCATTTTCGTTATTTTCGGGCTACTTCTCAGTCATATTCAAATGACACCACAAGCTTGACTCGAATGTATGCTATTTCGTCAACAGTATTAGATGTAATGAAGACTTTGTTGCAACACGTGCGCCCACTTAACAGCCACGTTCAGATTACGACAGAGGCTTTGTTTTATGACAATATTAGTTTGAGGTGAACAGAGATGTTCATTGCGTGTTCGTCTCACTCAATTTGAAAATATGCTAATATTAAAAATTATTCCATATTTCGGCATAATAGTAAANATAATAGTAAAATAGACCGGAACCGAATTTTTACGTATCTTCAAATGCAAAGATCATCATGATAATAGACAATGAGACATCACTTCCAAGAAAAAATTCTATCGGGAATTTCAATCCTACCAAGTTTATTCATGTTGAAGCATTTACAAGAAAATATTTTTGTCGAATTCTGCATTACATTGAATCGATAGCACTCAAATGCATGGTTACCCAGCTTCAAAATTACACATAAATAAAAGATTCAACACAACGCTAATGGCTAATCGAACAAAATAACTTCCCTTGAGTTATTTCTATCATGTACATACTTATATATATTTATATTCTATCATGTACATACTTCGGTAGGTATCTCACCTTAAGAAGGCTACGGAAGTAAGGACTGCAGGCGGAGAGGACGACTTTATGTGCTTTGATTGTCCTGCCCTCACAAGCGAGAGTGACGTCTACAAAATCTTCGTGGTCGCGCAGTTGTTCAAAAGATGTCGCGATGTTGCTGTGAAAATTGTCCCAGCGTAGGCAGAAATGCTGGTCGCCGCCTCCACCACTACCCATGCTGCACCATACGCTGAAACAACACCACGAGCTCAATAAAAACATAATAAAAAAATGACATAGGCTGAGAAAAAAATACCATACGCTGAAACAACATCACACGCTCAAAAAATTACATAGGCGGAGAAAAAACACCGTATGCTGAAAAAATGCCATACGCAAAAAAACGTAATTTTTTTGAAAAAATACAACTCGGCACTCACTGCAGTGAGTGACAGAGCGCGCATTTTCTCGTCGACGAAAACGTGAAGTCACGGACAGACGGACGGACATGACGAGCACAATAGGGCATTTTTTCATAAATGAGAAAATGCGCTAAAAACGCCATACTCTGCCCAACGACACCACTTGAAAAATAACTACGATAAAACATATGAAATGGCACAGAAATCTGACAGATCGAAGAGGATTAAAAGTGCGTCCATGATTTTTATTTGACCACTATAGACGCGTTGCCTAACTCTGCAGAACAAAACAAGCTGACCGGCAAATTAAGGTATTAAAAACTTCTCAATTTCCACATTATTCGGAAATTAATCTCAGGATGAATATGTTTTTTTTATCCATTGTAGTGCAACATACTGGAATTGTTCATAAAATGTAGGGGAGGGATTCTGTCTGGTCATTAAATGTCATACTAGTGCGATTATACTCAAGTTATACTACAATTAAGAGGTTAACCTAATTTAGCAAAATTGATAGATACGTTTGTATATTCTCACGTATCAGTAAGAAATCGGTTTACGTAAGAAATCGGTGATTATGCCATTACGACGTCACTGACGCTTAAACAAAAAAGCATCAGCGACGCAAAGGTATTCTACAAGTGTTCGTGCATCGAAGTTTACAATTTCTTCGTCAAATTTGTGCAGTGAAAAAAAAAACTCAAATCAGTAGAAAACCATAATATTTCCGCCATGTTTTATTATGTCCCCCAATATATCGCTATGAATTTTCTTGTTTATTAGCGTAACTTGGACAATATGAAAGAACGCGAGCACGTCCACGTACGAACGTGCTTGCAATAAGTAGCGAGCACCTCGATATGCCGCCACACATCATGTACTCAGAGACTTGATAAAAATGACTACTGACCTGACATTCAGCTCGGAAACGTGGAGCAATGCATGTGACAAAGTCGAACTGCAGCGAGACTAACGATGGTCATCCAGTCCCCACTCAAATGGCGGCTAATATTTTCCACAAAGTATTCTTCAGGTAGGAATTGTGACATTTTACGAAGCCATGCATGTTCGACGCGACGCAAGCCTTACGTTTTCACAAAATCACCATATCGTCTTCAGTATCACCGAAATAAATTATCAAATACATAATATAAGTCCTCACTTAAATGATAACAGTGGAATGAAGTGCAGAATTTATTTACTCGGATAATGAAGAAATAGACTATAATATTGACTATAAATTGTACAGCAAAAATGTTGAACAAAGCTGGCAAACGGACGAAACTGGCATTGAAAATGGTTCAAAAAATTCCTTCGGTTATTGCATTGATATAACAGTTTAGAAAGAACGCGAGCACGTCCACGTACGAACGTGCTTGCAATAAGTAGCGAGCACCTCGATATGCCGCCACACATCATGTACTCAGAGACTTGATAAAAATGACTACTGACCTGACATTCAGCTCGGAAACGTGGAGCAATGCATGTGACAAAGTCGAACTGCAGCGAGACTAACGATGGTCATCCAGTCCCCACTCAAATGGCGGCTAATATTTTCCACAAAGTATTCTTCAGGTAGGAATTGTGACATTTTACGAAGCCATGCATGTTCGACGCGACGCAAGCCTTACGTTTTCACAAAATCACCATATCGTCTTCAGTATCACCGAAATAAATTATCAAATACATAATATAAGTCCTCACTTAAATGATAACAGTGGAATGAAGTGCAGAATTTATTTACTCGGATAATGAAGAAATAGACTATAATATTGACTATAAATTGTACAGCAAAAATGTTGAACAAAGCTGGCAAACGTACGAAACTGGCATTGAGAATGGTTCAAGAAAATTCCTTCGGTTATTGCATTGATATAACAGTTTCAAGGCTGAAGCGTGTATAATATGCTCGGACGGACTTTGTAAAGCTATTGTGATTTAATGCTTATCGCTCATTACTTCGCACTATCACAAGCTTCCATTTAATTATGAAGCCACGAGACAGCTAATAGCCTAGATAATCACCCAATGCGTTAATAGGATGGTAACACTACAAACTCCACAAACAAAGCAAACTAAAACTCGCACAAAACTGTCAGCGTAGAATGCGTCGCGCTTGTCGCCTCGGCGCTGGTAACTCGATATCCAAAAAAAAAAGCCTATGCAAGCCTATCAAACGATGGCAGCAACAGCGATCAATAATGACCAGCGGGAGAGGGAAAGAAATGCAGCTCGAGCAGCAACCCTACCGACGGATGTGTTTGCAAACACAGTAGGCTGATCCCGGCATTTTGCGTTCGCCGTATTGATTGCAACCTCCCAACGAAAAAAATCAATAAATGGAAGTCCTGACGCGCCGAGAATAGAATTTATGAAATGAGCCGTCCGTCCTTCCCACTTTCCAAATGCGCTACAGAAAAACACGCGGAATGATATCACCGAAAATGTAATACACACCAAAGGGCATGGGTTCATTAAAACGCAGGTACAAGAATTTTGTTAGCAAAAAACTATTAGGGAAGCAATCATATTGACAGTAAATTCTAGCCAAATGTCCAGGTAAATTCAGAGAACACATTTTTAATAAGGAATATCACCTTAGCAGGACTTGCTTCTTTACACACCCCAGAATTTGTGTGCTCTTATATTTAGTTACATTAGAGTTTATTATTAGAACTAGTTTCAGAATGATTTGGTTCAGAGAAAATCTGCATAACAATATTCTGTACGTATATATTATCTTAATAAAGCAACATCACATTAACAAATAATCATAATAAACACATAATCATTATAATCATAAACACATGTCACAATAATCATAAACACTCTGCAAATGATCTAACAAGCAGCAAGAATGGACAAGAAATCTAGTTGTGGATGATCAACACAGGGTATAGCATCTAGAGATTGATACTGTATACAGATACTGATCAATGTGTATAGAAGGAACTGATTGATATGGCATCAATAACTCAATTGTGCCAACAATCCAGCCAGATCGCTTGCTTCATAATAACTTGATTGAAAAAATATCAGCAATATTATGAAGGAAATGTCTCGTTTATAGGAAAAAACTCATCATTCTATCATGTACATACTAAATACATGGAAATAGTGATCAGGAATTTGGTGTGAAGAATATATCTGGTGATGATTTCTTTAAACTTTACGTAATTGTGATATGCCCTGCATACCAATGTATCAAATCAAAGAACTCAGTACTATATATATATATATATAAATAATCTGACTGCTTCCTAGATTTAGATTAAACTTCTATTTATGACAGATCCCACATACAACTATTAGGCTAAAGATATTAACAGAGCTTGGTACTATACTGATTATTTTGCTATCATCTCCTGTTAAAATGTTGCCATGTGGATCATTGGTCAAGGTAAAACCAAAAGTCAAAATACACCCCCCAATTTCAAGGTATTCTTCAAATAGTGAATATATAGTAAAAACACATATTACAGTTCATTATTAAAAGTACGCAATTCAATATAGAATATTTTACCAAAGATTTTCTGTTGATAGGTCATTCTGCAGACACTAGGAAAATACCGTACAGTAGTGAAATGTGAAATATTTTGAAAAATGTTGCCTAAGCAACAAAATTCTGAATCTCATCAGTCCATTGGCATTCAAAATGTTTGCAAAAACACATAGAGCATATTGGCCATTTAACAAAATATATTTTGACATCAAAACAGAAAGGGGGCTTCCATTTGTCTCCATTACAATACATACATGTACTTGGGGCCAAACTAACAAGCCTCACTCAAATACACATTGCAATACAAGCACATGCAACGGCCTAAGTACAACTAAACAGCATAAGTACATGTAGCAGCCTAAGTACACATAGCAGC